TGTCTTAAATATCATTGTTCAAATCCCACGCACAGAAGGCTTGAGCTGACTGTTCTTCAGGGAAAAAAATAGAAAAAGAAAAAGGGAAAATCACCTACATTACAATAATTCTTAGTTTCAGAAAAAAATGCGTATTTTCAGCAATTTTTTAGCAGCATATGGGCTGTTTGGTTTTCTTTTAACTTGATATAAATTATTTCTTTATTTTTAATTGAAGTATAATTGGTTTACAATGGTGTGATCATTTCTGCTGTACAGCAGACTGATTCAGTTACACATACATATATATACACTCTTTTTCTATTCTTTACCATTATGGGTTATCGCAGGATATTCAGTACAGCTCCCTGTGCTGCATGGTCAGACCTTGCTGTTCACCATCCTATATAATAGTCTCTGTGGGCTGTGTACTTTCTGTTTGTGAACCTTCCTTTACAATTCAGCATCATGTGGAGATATTAACAAGAATTTACCACTTAACTAAAGTCGAAATGTCACTGTTTACATCAGAAGGTGTTGTGTTCATGCTATTAGTTTCAGTTCTCTCAAATGTGGATCAAAATTGAACTCCTAAAAGATATGACCATCAGTGTCCCTTTATTATTGTAATTATTAATCACTGTGAGAGTAGTGCTGCTACCCTGATTGAACATATAATATTGTAAATATATTGTAGTCTCTACTTTACATAAATCCAAAGAGCAAAGTGCTTCACCAGCTAAGTGTCGTTGAGAGGAAAAAACAGAAACTGTAAAATTTAGCTTCATGGAGGGACTCAAAAGACTCCAGTCTCTGGTCAGATCGTCGCTTGTCAGGCTGAATAACGTGTGCAGAACCAAAGACGCTGCCCAGGCAGTAGGAATCCTGAATATCTTTGTCCAGAAGTATGACTATAATTAATGACAAATGGATTGAGATGAGAAAGGTGGCCCCAACTTTGGGATGATTCTCTCGTATTTCTGCTTCCTTTTGTCCAGAACTGACCAAAGTTCCACTCAAAGTGTGGCCTTCCTCCCAGCAGACCAGCCTCAGTGGAAGCAGACAGAGTGCAGACTCTCAGCAGGAGCCTAGACCCACAGTATCATTCTTCTCATCGTCCCACATCCCGGGCGGTCCCTGTGCCCAGACACTTTGGGAAGGGCTGCCCTGCATTGCTAGCTAAGCTGGACCATTCACCTACAAGATGGATCCGTCCCTCACATCTTACAGATAAGCAAAAACTTATACTCAAAAATATGACAGTCTTGTGAAATTCTGTAACAGAAGAAATGGGGGTGGGGGGCATAGCAGAAGATGCGTGCTTTGCAGGAAGCAGGAGCTGTGACCTGACTTTCATTTTCAGAATCCTGACCGACAAGCAGGGTGCCCCTCCACCCTGCAGAGTCAGGAGCAGGAACTGAGAAGCAGGGCACAGAAACACACGGGCATCTTGATGACCCTCCAGGTTTGCTGCTGAGTTTAGAGCAGTTGTTTGCTGCGACGCCACTGATTAGCATGCAGCAGACAAGTTGAGGGACCTGAGTGAAACCTGGCTTTCTGAAGCTGTCAACTTCCTGCCCTTCGATAAATGATCCAGAGCCTCCGCTCCACGTGGGGAAGGGGCTGCATTTCGGCACTAAAACCACTGCTTGCATGACATCATTCCATATCAGATTACACTGTAATGTCAGGAATGTAATCATTAGCATTTAAACATGCATAAAATTTAATTAACCTACTTACCAGTTTGCTTAGAACTTTTGAAGGGCTACCTAGAGTCCTCTCTAAGCATTTTATTGCAGAGTTTTGGAACACTCACAAAAGAGACAAGTTCACTGGGATTTTTCTCCCTAAAGCTGATGGGCCGTGACAGATGAGCAGATGACCCGAGTTAATTATTATTGAATTCGTTATTACTGCTTTGTTGTCACCCAGCTCAGCCGGGGTAAAATGATGACAGTAGGTACCTCATTAAAACAGCTGTTTCAATTATGTAGCGGCAAATATTTAAAAAGGGAGGCTTCCAAGTTTAAAGCTGTTAACAAAGTTTGTTTGTGCTGGTTGTGCCAAGATGCTCTGACCGAAAAGGGAAGAGGTAGGAGAAAGGGGAAGACATTGATCATCACAGTTGTTTGAGGGAGATTTGCCCCTCACACCCACTCTGGGTCTTCCCTGCATCGTGAACGTCAGCAGAGAGAGGGGGTACCCCAGGCACCTCCAGTTCTTTCCACCCTGAGCCCGGGTGAAATCTGCTTCTGTTCAGATGGTAAAGGGTCAGCTGTGGCCTTGACTTCTTTCCAGCTACACAAGGTGTTGCAGCCAGTGTGTTCTATTATTTTGACCTGATCTAGGTGAGCCCCTGGTTTATGTATTCATAGAAAGCAAGAAAAGCTCCCTCGTTCAGGAAGAATGCTCCTCACCCTAGAGGCCTTGGCTTCCCAGGTGGCGCTAGTGGTAAATAACCCACCTGCCAATACAGGAGATGTAAAGAGATGTGAGTTCAATCACTGGGTCAGGAAGATCCCTTGGAGAAGGAAATGGCAACCAACTCCAGTATTCTTCTCTGGAGAATCCCATGGAGAGAGGAGCCTGGCGGGCTACAGTCCATGGGGTCACAAAGAGTTGGACACAACTAAAGCAAGTTAGCACTAGAGTATTTGTGACAACTTCGTGGAGAAGTAAACCATGTTTCTTTAACATTATGCACCATTAGAATATCTACTTAAAGATAAGGCATGATAATTTACTAGCTGATCTGATTTTTTTCTAAGGTCGATATGTCACTGACATGGCATCAATAAAATTCAGCAAAAGTGTCAAAGTGGGAGTTTCCTGTCCCCTAAGTAGAATTCAGCCTCTGCTTTGTCCTAAGCTGGTCACCTTCCAGTGCAGTGCTTAGGGTTTTGCAGAGAAATCAGCTCAATGCCCTCCCCACCTTCCCTTGTTCCAAACAATCCATATTTTCCATGTGTCTGTCTCTTGATGGTCACATGACCCAGGGGCCAGGTGTGCTAAACTATGTCTCATATTGTGACCTAATAACACCATGGGTCATAGTCCCGACACCTCTTAGTTTCAGACTCGGAAAATTTGAGTGGGATTTCACCCCATACTAGTCCTATGTAAAGGCACCTCCATACTCTTGAGTGAGATGAAGTGAGCTGTGTAGACGGCTCAGCATAAACTCACTACCAGGAGCATCCCCTCCTCTGCAGAGGACAGCTCAGTTTAGATGAAGAGATCTGGGTCACTGACAGTGGGTGGCGGAGGAGGAGTGAAGAACTATTAAGACGCAAAATCCTTGGGGGAGATTATAATGCAATTTGCATTTGGAATTTGCCTGCGAATAAACTGTCCTATCTACGTCCAGCCATGTGAGTTAGATATAACGTTCGCTACAGATTTGCTCATGAGCTGTGCTGCTCTGTGTGTTTATGAACAGTAGCATTGCTGACCTGGGACACACGAGCAGCTGGTTTAAAATATGAACAACAAACAGATCAACACATATTGTCTACAGCCTGTCGATCAACAGTATTACCAATTTAAAGATGAAGCCTGGCACCCATTGTGGAGATGGGCTGGAGGGATGGAAGTTCTTTCTATGTTTATGAACAGAGGCAATGCTTATTTTTTGATCTGTGTAAACACAGTAAACACAGAAAAAAGTAAGTCACTTGTTTAGTGCCTAAAATTAATATCCTAACAGAATTTTAAATTTGAATAATGAGTACTTTGGAATGCACAGTTTTGTTGTCTTTCACATTGATAAAAAATTACGTTTTCTCTGTAATATTTGGTTGTTGTTTTTTTTTTAAGAAAAAGTCCTGTCCTACCTTCTCACCCTCTTCTCCACTGAGACTTAATATTTTTGTGTATCTTATTGTCATCATTATGAACATTTTAATATGAAGTGAGCATACACAGTGAAGAATTCTGTGTAGGACTTAATAAACATACAGAATGTCATAAAATTGAAACACTTTGAGAAAGTGAAGGCTGTTGATCCAATTACAAGTTGGTGGAGGCATCACCCTCAGGGACTCTCACCCTACAGGAAGAGAGAAGTGAAAGCTGCTCGTCCTTTGTGACCCCACGGACTGGAGCCCACCAGGTTCCTCTGTCCATGGGATCCTCCAGGCAAGAATACTGGAGTGGGTTGCCATTCTCTTCTCCAGGGGATCTTCCCGACCCAAGGATCAAACCCCAGTCTCCGGTATTTCAGGCGGATTCTTTACCATCTGAGCTACCAGGGAAGGAGGAAGAGAAAGGGATTTTTAAAAACTACTCTTTATTTATGTGATCCTCATGGCCACAGTGTGTGAGGGGGAGGGCTAACGGGTGGAGATTTTGTGTATTTGCCCCATGTTGCCCTGCCCCCCTCCACCAGCCAGTGTCTTGCCATTTGCTATTCACAAGAGCAAACCTGTGATTTAAATAAAAGATTCAGATGCCTAGAGAATAAGCCAGCTTCGTGATTTTAGAAGCTTAATCTCTCCTGAATATATTTTAAGTAATATTCCCCTTATACTTACCATTTTAAGAATGAAGATGACACAGAAGGTGGGAGAGAACAGCAAAGTGTTTAGCTAACTGTTTCTGGATGAGCTTCGTATTATAAATATAGTTTAGAAACTTAGAGCATGTTCTTGGGATGAAGGTTCTAAAACCATCTGTCACCTTACATGTGTGCTCTCGACTACTACTTCAGTAGCTGTCAGTCACCAGAAGTCCCACCGTCTTCACACTAATGCTGTGCCCACCCCTGGGAGGTAACTTGCTGTTTTGTGCTTAGCTGCTCGGTTGTGTCCAACTCTCTGTGAGCCCAAGGACTGTAGCCTGCCAGCCTTCTCTGTCCATGGGATTTTCCAAGCAAGTTTGCTTGGAATACTTCTCAACCCAGGGTTCAAACCAGCATCTTCTGCATTGCAGGTGGATTCTTTACCTGCTGAATCATCAGGGAAGCCCATGAGACACCTTAAAATGTATTTAATCCGTGATGACATGTTAGAGACCTGCCACATATCTTGTTTTTTCTCCAGTCCATTTAATAGAGGCATCATCATCATCCTCCTCAACTAGGGGTGTAAGTGGCTCCTGGTTTCAGCTTTACAAAGCCCCCAGGACATCATGAGCATCTTCAGGCCCAACGGGAAAGGCAGGCACTCCTAAACTTGGCTTCAGGACAGCTCTGCTCACCTCTAGGCCTGAGCGCACACTTGAGGTGAGGAGGGATGAGGACATGCTGATTCACCCTGACGGTGGGTCTGACCCCGTTCTGTCCACAGTGGCAGTTACATGGCTAAGGGCCTTGGGGGTGTTTGCCTTGTCAGGGCGTATTTCCTGACCTGCAACAGCAGCTATGAACGTGTGTCTCATGCCCACTGACCAGGTCCTGGGAGCCATGAGGGATCTAGGGGAGTTGGGGGTACATCCTGCTTCCCTGGTTTCACCTCCTGGGCATCCACACCATGATTCCTGTCCACACTCCCACCCCTCTGCCCAGTCACACTGCTGACTCCACCTCTTCATGATCCTGAGATGGAGTCTGAGCTTGTCTGATGCCCTCGTTTTCTTTATCTGCCTCCAGAGAGGAGAGGAGACTGAGCACAGGAGACAGCCCTCGAAGGAAGAGAGGGACCCCAGCTCCTATGTGCTTAGGAGGCCCTTCAGTGACCCCCGGATCTTCCTCTCCAGACCCCTGTTGGATGGAGTGGACAGGACCCGTGACAGAGTTTGGCTGCAGAAGGAGCCACCTTGGATGGAAGAGGCTCCAAGTTAGTAAGTTCAGTTGACCCTTGAGTGTGGTGGAGGGTGAGGGCGGGGCTCCCGGTGCAGTAGAAAGTCTGCAGTTAATGTCACAGTCTGACCTCCACTAATGCGACTCCTCCCAGACCCCTGGCTCCTCAACATCAGAGGTTCTCGTCCTCAGACACAATCGACCATCATGTTGTTCTCAGTATTTACTGGAAGGATCTGCATCTAAGTGGGACTGTGTGCTTCAAAACAGCGTGGTTTAAGAGTCAGCTGTGTTTGGGAGTCTGTCAGAGGTAAAGGGCAGCAGAGAAGATGGAGAGACAAAAATAGAAAGAGTTGCGATAGGAAAGCAAAAGTAACCCTGGATGCCTTCAATAGATGGAGACAAGACAAAGCTCTGATTTTTGGGGAGCATACATTATTTTCTAAGACCAAGGAACTGTGAGTTCAAGATTTAATTTTATGAAAGACACGAGATTTCCAGAAGGATTCTGGGAATCAGTCATTTTGTGAGATCCTTGCTGAGTTGGTTAGATTGCGAGAACCTGCAATATCATGCTCACGTCTTATGTCAGCAAATGTTGAGAATATCCACCCTGGGCTGGCAGAGAAAATAACACTGGTTTTCCCAAGTTTACCTACACTTGGCATTCCAAGCAAATAAAGCAGGAATGAAGTTCATAGGGTGTGGGACGATCTGAACAAAAATCTTCCAAAATGTCATGTAACCTACACGAGGTAATTGACAAGCTCTTTACAGCTCTAACTATTGCTGTCATCAGTGCCCTCCGCTCCCTTCTCGTCCTCTGCTTAGTTAAAACCATCATATCTTCCTCCTCACGTTGTTCTCCCATGGTTTTCCTCTTCATCAGCATGCTGTCATGGCAGAATGGAAGGAATATCATATCTTTGCAGATGTCAAGGACTAAACAGCCTGCAAAGAGAACCCTGCCTTAAGGCATCAGATGGACATGAGGGTAGAAACTGTCCTTTTCGAGTCTTCTGATGCCAACCAGAAAGCGGGCACAGGCTGGACCCTAGAGGGACATTTGACAAATGCCTTGCATCTGGGGTTGCCCTCTGATCAGGGAGCACGAGCACAGACTACACCTGCCTCACTCAGGTGGGAGCCTGAAGGTCTGGAAGGCTAGGGTCTGGCCTGAGCTCACACCACAATATGCTGCTAGAATCTGAGTTCTAATTCCAGATCAACAGCTCCTCTATTTTGCCTTTAAAGATGTTCATCTAAAGGAGACAACACAATGCAGCCTGATGTGCAAAGGTGGTGCTTCTCGGGCTTGGAGGGCCACGTCCCGGCCACCCAACCTGGAGCGGGGACTCACCTTCCCCACCGTCACGGGAACACAGCTGAAACAGTGTGCTTTTCTTTCTGAAACCAGGCCCCTCATCATGAGAAGAAGCTAATAGTTCTACTGTTTAATGAAAACAGCAAAATCAGTAAAGTAGGATCAGATAATCATTTACAAGTTCATTCCCTCTACATGGCTTAAGATTTCCCATTACCGGTGGACTGGAAACTGGAAATCAAATTTGGAAAACTAATATAAGCTAATGATTTAATCTGTCACTTCAGTGTTTTCCACTGGAGAGTAAGAAGATATTTAGAGAGAATGACTTGTCCCTTTCCCATCTCAATGTTGTCAAAACTGACCACAGATTATTTGGGAAGTTCTTTATATCAGTGGAAAGGTGTACCTTAATTCTGGGCATTTCAGAGCTGAAATTATGTTCTCACATTTTGTTTTCATACACAGGATACACATAAAATGTGTCAATTCCTCCAGCAGATATGTTGAGGTCCAGGTGGGGAAAGTATGATCCTGTCAGCTGTGAGCAGCAGAATTAGAAGTTACCTCACAAATACAATTTGTTTCTTATGATTTTCTGTAAAGCACCAACCCCTTCAGCAAAGGCTAGTGTGGTATCTGTGAGACATGTGTATGCCTGTAGTGAGTTATTCATCATCTGCTCAATCTGATGCATTATGTGAGAAAGGATGCTCTTAAAATATGGCATAGTCTTTGCTTTGGCATGATCATGTTTTAGGATAGAATCATTACTTTCTGCTTTTACCCACAGTACTGAAGTTAAATTTCTTTGATTTTCAAGTTTGTCCAATGAAGCCAAAAAGATCATAAGAAAACACAGAGCTTACAAAGGCACTCAAAATGGGAAGGAAGTAACCAAGAACTCACTCGCAGAATGCCTACTGTATACAACACAATAGTTGTTAACACGTGTTAGGCTGTAATTCTTAGATTATTTCAGTAGGAAAAACTTAGATAGTAAAATCAGTGCTTTAATTTCACAGAAAATAGCTTTGACTACAGACATGCTGTTATGGTAGTTATGGTCGTAGTAGTCTGTGAAAAATAAAATTGCCGTTTCAATTGTTAGGTGAATGAATCCTTAGTGAATGGATATGACAAATGAGAAATCGGTGATCATTTACCAAACATGTGTATCTCTGTGGGGATTCCTGTTTTCAGGTACATCAAGAGGACTGAAGACACCTTAGCTTGGCCGCAGTGACGTTCTGTTATTTCTGTAAGATGAACACAACTTCCACGAGAACCACGACCCGAGTTTGCCTGAGTGTAACTGCCTGCGTTGATGCTCCGTATTGAGAGGGCTCACAGTTCCAGGGTCTCTGGATGAGTTTCGCGGGTCCCCCCTGCTCCCCTGGGGTCTCTCGTGGGGAAATGGCTTTAAATGTTAGTAGTCTGTCATTCTGGGGACCAATTATTGTTGAAGCTTGTGACTAGACAACTCCCCCAAAATATCCCAGACATTTACTGAAGGGAATGTAAGTCCCAGGCAGGGATCCTTTGTAGAGATCACCAAACTGTAGCTCCTCAATTTCAGGAAAAAAGAAGCAAGCCAGCACATACCATGACATAGTGTTTCAACTCAGTCTCTGAGTAATGTTTCAACTGTGACCATATGTGAGTTAAAGTGTCTATGAGACTATGAAAGTGTGTAAAAGTAATGTAGCTGAACAAGAATAAAAGATGTGGAGATTTTAAAAACACAATATTACACATTTTATCTACTTATAATGTGCTCGTTCCTTGAATTTCTATAACCTGCTATCGTGCTCTAATTATTTGCAATGACTTTTTGAGGTAGACTCTGCTGTCACAGCGCTTGCTCCATCCGTCACGAGACACCCACCTGAGACCCAGGTGGTCTCTGAGGCACACTGCGGCTGGGTGGTCCCCACTCGGTGCTCTCTGCTCCCATGGGGACTCTCCTTTGGGTTTCCCTTCGGGGAGAGACTGGCTCCTGGGAAAATGTCTTAGCAAGTGGCGGGAACCACACATGTCCCCAGAGCTTCCACATCTCCAGGGTACCTGTAAAGACACCTCCATCCAAGTGACTTCACCTCCTGTCTCTGCTGATAGAGATTCTGGGGTTCAGAAGAGTGTGGACCCAGACTTCTTAGTAAGGAATGGCTTATCATTTCCCAGCTATGTGAGCATCTACACAGGATTTAAAAATAATCTGATATTTGTAAACTCTACTTAGACATGGTAGTTAGCAAAAGAAAAAAATAAAAGTAAATATTCTCATGTGGTTCTATTAAAGTCAAACTCACAATATTTTTTGTTCAAAGTCAGGGCACTCTGGTTCCAGAATCCAGTTAGCGTTTTCTGTTTTTTCCATAATCAAACATTACTTAATAAGAAGGTGCTCATTAAAGAGTATTGCTCTTTCTTTGTTCATGGATTTTTTTTTTAACCAGTAGAAGTAAACAAAAAATTAGCAGCATTAGGAAAGGTATATTGAATCAAACTACCAGTGGCAAAAACAACGAACACATTAGAACAGGCAGACCTCGCCTGACCTTAGTCACAGCACGGAGACATCACACGCAAGATCCTATGGATGCATCTCGTTCCTGGTAGACACAGCGAATTTCTCCGAGGTTGAAAACCCCCAGCTCAGGAACTCCAGGTGCCCTCTTCAAGCTGGAAAGGTGCAGCTCTTTGAGAAGCCTGTACTGCCCTCTCCACCCTCCACCCCCTGCTTAGTGGACTCTTTAATTATTATGTTAGTACTAGTCCATCGTTCAAAACAACTTCCTTCAAAAATCATATAAGGCATTCCCATAGGAGGAAAAGAATCAGAAAAGGAACAGCATTCCTGACCTTTGAAGGCTGGAAGTCAGAGAAAGTTTTTTAAAACTGGACATGAACTTGAGTCATGAACAACTTTTTTCTGCAAGCAGGAAGACTGCAGCTATTCAAATATGACATCTGTGTAGTAAAAGTCGCTCAGTCATGTCCGACTCTTTGCAACCCCTGGTCGACATCTCTGTATGGTTATGCCCTTTCTCCCTCACTTTCTACACGCCATGCTACTTTTCAGTTGGACTCCTTAGAAAAACCCAATCTCTGATTTCATACTTTGATATTTAGGAAATATAAAAGTAGAAAGACCCATTGGTATAAAGATGTCACTCCAAGATCTATAGAGTTTAAATATTATAAAGTTTGAGTCCTCATTTGCAAAGAGTGGCTGCAAGTTTTGTGGCATTTTAAATTGTAAAACACCTGTGCAAAGTGTTTAACTGAGCAGGTCACACAGGTGACCACACTCAGCAGGGCAGAACGGGAGGACATGGATGGTCCACAAACAAACATGCTCTCCCGGTGCCGACACTGACCTCGGGCGGGGCCCCCAGTGCTGACAGCTGGACGGAGAGCTGATCACTCTTGTCGGAGGCCACCCTGCCTTCTCCGCAAGCCCAGGGCAGGCCTGGGCTCAGGGCCCCCTTGGAGCCTTTCCTCTGCTTCTTCTGTCTCCTCTGGAGCCCCAAGCCTTCAGAGAACCAGTCAGGATCCTGGCTTAATGGTGCTGTCATCCTGAGTCCATCTTTCTGAGCGCGTTCCTTGCTGTCCAGTCTAAACAAGACTAAACTTCCGAGTCTCCATCCCCTGCTCTTCCCTTCATGCCCCTTTTACCACCAGGGACCCCACTGTCCTCAAGACACCCAAAATCTTCACATAACTTATGTTCAAATCTCCAACGGCCTGTGTTAGTCGAGCACCTACTCTGTGCCTGTCTCTGCTTGAGGCCGGAGCCCTGGTGAGCAAGACAGCCTTGGCTTCAAGGGAAACGGGCAACAGTGAGGCTCAAGTCCATTGTGGAGACAAGAACAACTTTCGGGGTTTTCCCTCAATCATCCGGGTGCTCGTTAGTGTCACAGCCTTTGTCAGGAATCCAAGGCAGCTTCGGCACGGACGTGGGTGTGCTTGGGACCCAGAGAGGAGCAGTCAGGTGGTCTTGGGAGCTCCTGTCTCCAAAAAGAAGACGGAGCACCTGTAATTCTGAAAATGTGCACAAAGATCATGTGAGGGGTCAGAACGGCAGTTACTGGGTTGGAGGGATAAATGAGGAGACGGGAATGAACATACACACACGACTATATAGAAAACAGGTGACCAACAAGGACCTCCTGTATGGCACAGGGAACACTGCTCAACATCCTGCCATAACCGATAATGCAAAGAATCTAAAAAAGAGGAGACACAGATATCCATACATGCATATCTGAGGCACTATGCTGAGAACTTGAAGCTAATGCAACATTGTACATCAACTATATTTCAAGAAATTTTTTTTTAAAATCCATAGTTCTGTGATGATCCAGAGACTGAAAGGCGAGGGGCCTGCCCCTCCTGCCAGTGACTAGACCCTGCCCCTCGAAGCAGATTCGGGCTCTGCTTCCCCCACCCTGCTGGGGGATGAGCTAGGCTGCCTCTTAACCACTGCCGGGGCCCGGCCTCCCCTGACCAGTGGTGAACATTTGCAAGGCTGCTGGCTGCCATTCCAGAGGCAGACTGTGAGACTAACTGGCCCACGCAGGGACGAAACCAGAGTCGCTTCACCGCCCCGCTCCAGCGGCGTTAACAGACCCAGGAAGCCAGCTGCCCGCCTTGTTCTAAGGGACCCTCTCCACCATTGGGGTTTTTTTTTCCCCTCTCTTCTTTACTCTTTATTCCTTCTAAGAACCTGCTGTCCTGCGGTTTCCTTGCTAATGTTCTAGGAGGGACCGCAGGCAGGCGGTGATTTTCCTTGGACTCCAGACGCTGTACCCAGGCACCCGCCTGTGGAATCCGGGAGATACACACACACTGGTAAACACCGTTGCCCCCAAGAGGGGAACACACTGAAGGCCTCCCTGGTTCACGTGCAGCGAGAGGATCCTGTACAGGCGCAGGCGGGACGCACACGAGGAACCGCACAGACTTGTCTCCGCCTGGTAATTACCTTTGTGCTCATCCCCAAGTCCCAGCAGCACGGAAGGAGGTGGTGGTGGCTGGGCCCCCAAAGAATTTAAAACGCCGGTGCATCACATTCCAGGATCCTATTAATAATTAAACTGTCTGTCACTTACCAACAACATACATTCCAAATTAAATTTAAGCAAAAGGGAAAAAGAGATCATTTGGGACTGAATTAGTGGGCTTCAGAGAGAAATAAATAATAATCAAACATCTGTGTTCTAAATAGTACGTGCTTTATCAGACAAACAACTGTTACCATCTCGTTGTGTGGAATTGCTCGGGAAAACATGGAGCCTGGAAAGCAGGGGCTCCGTGAGGAGCGGGGCAGGGGGAGGAGGCTCGCGGAGGAATCGGGAAGAGACCGGTGGTGGCCACGGCCAGAGGTCCTCCTCAGCATCTTCATAGGTGAAAGAGAAGAGGACCACCCTCCGTGCATGGTGGGTGGATGGTCCAGAGAAAGCGGTGAAGAAAATGTCAAGACAAATTCCAACCTTGCTGACATGCCTGGAATTCTGCCTGTAGTGAAGGTTATAGAACAGAATTCATTATTTTTTGCCAGAAGGATAGACAGAAAAGACACAGAATTAATAAACAAGTGTGTAAAGAGGGAGGAGTCAACATTTCCCCAACTCAGCCAAGAGGCAGGTGGAGGACACCAGGGCAGCATCCAAAGGCCAAGTGACCAAAAGGAGATGCAGGATGGAACCACGAAGTTTGCTAATTACCCCGGTGTCATATTTCATAAACGGGCGGCGTTGCCTTGTCTGTCTTCTCCGGGTGACATTTAACTCTCCGTGTCTCGTAAATCGAGCCACTGCTGCGGGACCGATGGAGGGAATAAGCGATGAGCGCGTGTGAGCGGCTCTGCGTCCCCGCCTCCACGACCGTCCCCGCCTCCACGACCCTCCCCGCCTCGCCCTGTGCAGCCCCCATCTCTGCTGTCTGGCCCTCGAGGAAAGAACTGCGCTGCTGACTCACTCAGGGGGAGCTTGCTGCAAACTCGGACTTGGATGCTTTGGTCGTGGGGGGCGGGGGGCATGCCTGGGAGCCGAGCCTGCTCTCAATTACTAACACCTCTGAACTGCACCTCCGCCTCGGGCCGGCGGGGAGGCTGCCACCACCGCTGGGTGTGCCGGAAGCTCAGGGCGGGTGGCGTCTGTGCTTCTTCTCCTTAGGTAACTGTGTTAAAAGACCCCATTCCAGCTGTAACACTTGTTTTACAAGAGCCCCGGTTTTGTCTGACACAATATGGAACAACATTTGTCATCCGTTATCAGGGGTGATATATTTGTTAGCCTGCAGAGAAACATCTGCTGTGCCTTAATCTCCAGCGTGCAGGCCAATATTCATAGGATCCAGCTGCATAAAATCGCGGTATTAGATGGAGCTGTCCAGTCTGACATGAAGGCTCGCTGGCAGGCAGACAGACACAGATTTTATTATCTCCCTTTTACATATTTATTTATGTCAAATATTTCTGAGAATCCATACATTACCTCTCCTTTTATGCGTTGTTGTTGTGTGGTGACAAGCCATCGACATCCAAATGAGAAATTTATGTTACATATTAAATATGGACA